TGCTTTGTAGAATCTGTACCTTAATGTCTTTTACAAAAACTCTTTGTTCCTCCAATATTGCCATAGCATATTGTCCATTAAAGAGTTCCTAGCCTTATCTCAACAATGACATTTAGGACATTGATATGATGAGTCTGACACAAATTCTGCTTCTGGTTGTACCAAAAAAAAGAAAACAAAATGGCAGAGTTTAACTCCTTCCCATTTTCTTAGCAAGAAAGAGAGAAAGCTGGACATGTAAAACATTGTTTGTAACTTATAGGGCAAGCACAAAGAGATTAGAAGTAAGGAAAAATGATAGAGTACAACCTGGAAGGATTGCTGAGATTAAGAAGGAATCAAAGCAAATAACTTATCAACATCAGTAGCTTGCAGAGCTCTTAAAGAGATGGCTGCTCAGACAGAAGGCAAATCCTGAGCTACGAGGTACACAGAGTGAACTGGGCCCATTAGTTTTTTCAGTTGAATTGATTTAGCTGAACAATAAGTTTCTATCTATAGATTATATGACTAATTAGTAGCAAAGAAAATTCAGGACCCTGTACGAGTGAATTTTATGATGCGAAGAAAATAGAAAAGCATTTTATTTAATTTGAACCTTAAAAATATTTGATATGGCTTTGGTTGCGTGTGTCCGTTTTTAGGAATGTTCTGGCAAGCAATTAAGGGGATACCAAAAAAAGTTGTAATTAAATCAAAAAGTTTCTAAACAGAGATAGAAATATATTATCCTTATTTAACAAGGCTCTCTACATCTTACTTTATCTGGGAATTCATAAGACAGAAAGAAACTTAGGAACATGTACAAGCAATATATAAAGGAATTATTGTTGTACAAAATAAACAAAAAGTTTCTATAGTATGTTGGCCATGCAAAAGTTTCCCACTGAGTGGTATCCTATAGAGCACTGGATAAAATTTCTTTTCTCTTAAAATGTTCTGATTGAAATAGATTCTGACATGACAGGAATGGCAACAATAGAGCCTATTGCTGTATTATTATCTTTATTGTCAGAGTACAACATGAGTACAATGAGGTTGGCTGAGCCTCCCTTTGTGCACTCCCCCCAACGCAACTCACAGTGAGGACAGAAGTCCCTAATCCAGTCCCAATCTTATTACACTATGTGACCTTGTTCAACAATGCACTGGCCCCGCAAGTCTGTCATATTATGTTGACATGAAGTTATTTTCCATTCAGAAGTCTGACCGCCCATGGGTAGAAATTGTTCTTCAGCCTGTTGGTGTGGCTGGCTATGCTTCTATATCTCCTACCCAATGGTAGGAGAGTGAAGAATTGCTGACCGGGATGTGAGTCGTCCCTGAGAATTTTCCTCACTCTTCTAAGGCAATGAGCCCTAGTGATGTCATCTAGTGGTCTCAGGGAACAGTCCATGATGTTTTATGCTGTGCTCACCACCCTCTGTAATGTCAGCGGCTGTCAAGCCAGCATACCACAACATAATGCAATATGGGAGGACGCTTTCTATTGTGGACTGGTAAAAGGAGGTCATCAGTCGTTGTTCCACTTTATTTTTTCGCAAGACCCAAAGGAAATGGAGTCTCTGTTGGGCCTTTCTGGTCACCTGGGTTGTGCTGATTTTCCAGGTAAGATATTCACTGAGGTAGACTCCCAGGAATTTAAAGGATGAAAGTCTCTCCACACAGACCCCTCGATGTAAAGTGGGGCAGGTTCCTCTCTCTTCTTTCAGAAGTCTAAAACCATCTCCTTTGTGTTGCTGATATTCAGGTGCAGGTTGTTTTCTAGGCATCATGAGGATAATTTTTGAACCTCCCTCCTGTATGCTGTTTCGTCTCCACCTATAACGAGACGCAATATGGTAGTATCATCTGCAAACTTAATGATCACAGTGGATGGGTCAGACGGTACACAGTCATGTGTGTACAGGTAGGGACTGAACACACAGCCCTGTGGGGAGCCAGTGTTAAGCTTCAGGAAGGTGGATGTGACATACCCAGCTCTCTCTGTTTGTGGTCAGTCCCTCAGAACGTCTTTGATCCAGTCGCAGATGGAAGAGGGAAAATCCAAGTCAGTCAGCTTTTTGATAAGGATGCTCGATAGGAAAGTATTGAAAGCCGAGCTGTAGTCAATGAAAAGCATCCTGACATTCCCGGTTTCTCCAGATGGCTTGCTACAGAATGTAAGGCAGTAGCTATGGCGTCGTCTGTCAACCTGTTCCCCTTGTAGGCAAGCTGATGTTTGTTAAAGTCTGTTGGGGGCACATCCTAAGGTGTTGGAGAACCAGTCTTTCAAAGCATTTCATCACTACTGACATTAATGCGATAGGTTTGTAGTCATTTAGACAGTTAATTGCTGTTTCTTGGGAACTGGGACAATAGTGGCTGTTTTCAAGCATGATGAACACAGCCGTTTGCAGGGAGATGTTAAAGATCTTTGTCAGTACCCTGCTAATTGATCGGCACAAGTCATTATCACTTATTTCAGCACCCCACCTGGACCTGCAGCTTTACTGGGATTCACAGCTTTCAGTGAAGCTGTCACTTGTTGTTCATGTAGGGTGAGTGGCTGGGAATCAGAAGGCTGGGAGGCAGAGGCTACGCGGTCTGGTCTTTTCACCTCATAGCGGGTGAAGAAGATGTTTAACTCCTCTACCAATGAGTGTCAGCATTGACAGTTTTCATGTTGCCCTTATAGTTAGTTCAGTGCTGCAGTCCCTGCCACACTTGCTTTAGGTTGTTATCTGCTAGATAGTTTTCCACCTTATATTTGTATTGTTGTTTTGCCATCTTAATGCCTCTTCTAAGGTTTGCCCTGGGCTCTCTCTATATATACCTGTCCGCTGCCTTAAAGGCAGAATCCTGGGCTCTCAGAAGTGTCCGTCCCTTGGCAGTCATCCCGGGTTTACAATTCCCATAGACCCTGATGCACTTGTCCGTTGTTACATGTCAGTGCACACTTTGATGTAAGAGAGTATGACATCAGTGTACTCATGCAGGTCTTGATGTTCAAATACATTCCACTCAGTGGTTTCAAAACAGTCCTGCAGCTGACTGAGAGCACCCTCTGGCCAGATTTTAACCATTTTCATGACTGGCTGAGTTCTTTTCCTAGAGAGACATACTTCAGGCATGATAAAAGTGAAAGATGGTCTGATGTACCCAGGTGGGGGAGCGGGATTACTCTATATGCCTGTTTCAGGTTAGCGTACACACAATCTAAAGTGTTCTTCCTTCTGGTGGAAAGCTGCACATACTGCACAAAGTAAGGGAGAAGTGTCTTTAAACAGGCTTGATTGCAGTCTCTAACCATGACAAGAGCACTCTCTGGGTGAGTTTCATATCATATAGCTTAGAAAGCACCGCACTGACATTGGCATCAGGTGGAATATAAACAGCTATATAATTATCATAGTGATTTCTCTAGGCAGATAAAATGCCTACATGTGACAGTCACCAGTTCCACATCTGGGGAACAATACGTATAAGCTACTCGGCTGTTAACACACCAGTCACTATTCATATAGATACAGAGTCCTCCCTTGCTCTTACTGGAGTTGCCATTTCTATCAGAGCGATAAATGACTCAACTTGTCAACTCCACTGCCGCATTGGGTATAGCTAAGTGTTATGTCTCCTCTTGGAAATTCAAACGAACAAACATAAAGCAGCC